ACATTTTGGTTCATTGTGACTCATTATTAATCTATGACCTTAAATTTCGATAATTAGTGACCTAGAAATTTGAAATTATGTGACCTATCGATAAATTGTGATCTATAATTTTTTGATCCGTGACCAATGAATTAAATTGTAACGTATAAAATTTTTAATTTGTGACCGTAAAATAATTTGTGATATTTCAATTTTTTATTTGTAATTGATGAATAAATTGTGACTTATAAAATTTTGGAATTGTGACCGTAAAATAATTTGTGGCGTTTCAATTTTTTATTTGTAACCGATGAATAAAATGTGATTTATAAAATTTTGGAATTGTTACCGTAAAATAATTTGTGACCTATAAAATTTATGATTTGTGACGTTTAAATTTTTTATTTGTGACCGATGAACAAATTGTGTCCTATAAAATTTTTGAATTGTGACCGTAAAATAATTTATAATATAAAATTAATTATTTGTGACCGATTATATGAAATTGTGACCTTAATATATTGAATTAATAAAACATATGTTTAATTAATTAATTTATAAATAAAATTTAAAAAAAATTGAGATTTGAAATGTTAAACTTAGTTTCTTAAACTTGAAATTGATAAAACTAAATCTCTTAGTTATGAAATTTTCCCATAAATATATGTTAAATTTCTAGCTTGGACTGGTTTGGATTTTATAGAGCACCTCGAAATCCGATTTGTTAAAAGCGGGCTCAAAATTAAAGTAAAATATGTAGCGAATAAATATTTAACTATCTATTAAAATTTGTATATATTTGTGGAGTGACTTCAATTGAAATTTATTGTAGCGAATAAAGTAAAATATGTTGCCTAGTGCGGTTTATATTTCATGTATGATTTGCGGGCTATTGGATATGGAGCGAAGTTTATGCGCACTCATAGTGGTTGGGACTCCGTTGTTGAGTTGTGGTTGCGGGTTCTTACGTCAACAAAAAAAAAAAATTGTAAAATATGCAATTGCTAATAAAAAGGAAGAAAACTTTGCAGCACAAAAATTCTTATAAATTGGAAAAGTAAATTACATCAGCCCCCCACCGCACAAACCTTCAGGGCTGCACTTCCGCTGCTTCCTCCCCTCGACGGCTTCTCTGTACATGCCACTACGCCAGGTATCATTTACTCTCTCTCACTATATACATCTCTGTGTGTATATACAAACGGTATATCTGCAAGAGTGCGTTCTGCTTTGGTATATATATATTTTTTAATTTTTTTGAGGAAATGAGCACAGCCTACACAAACTCCCGGTTCCTAATCGATCTAAACTCTTTCCCAGAATCATAGCACTAAATCCTAATTCCTATATCAAATTCTTTACATTCTCCTTCTCTGTTATTGTTAATGTACGATAACTAATCAACTAATTGAATCTTTATCCTTAAGAATTTGTGTTTTCATATTAGTTTACTAGTACAATTTACTGATTTTTATTAACAGTTGTTGATTTTTTATTTCCTTTTAAACAAAATGGTACATGGTTGCTTTTTTTTTTTTTTTGGATGATTTAAGTTTGTAGGTGTTAACATGTAAGTTGTGACAGTGACATTTGGACTTGCTTCAGGTTTCGTTATTATGTGTTTTTTAGTCTTCTCATAATTGCTTTGTTAACTCCAGCTTCCAGCTTTAAGTTCAAGGCCAAAGGCATTTGGTGCAAACTGTAAAGAGTATTTATTTAGCCCCCTTTTGGCCCCCATTATTTGTGATATAATTTTTGGAATAGTGTTTTTTTTGAAGAATGTATGGTTAAAAAGGAAGAAAAAAGTTTTGGATTTATTGGATAATGTGTGGTTAAACAAAAGAGAGAAAAAAAACAGATTATTGTGTTTTAAAATGATTTCTATCCCATTTGTTAGATATTTCGTTCAAGTAGAGAAAGATGTATTTGATGAAATTGATAATGAGTTCAATATGCAGCAATTTTAAAGGATGAAACCTGTATAAAACAATTGTAGTTTATAGTAATATCATTGTGTTATTTGAATTCTTTTTCCGTATTAAAATCTTGCCCTCACTAGACCGAAATCTTAGCTGTGCCCCTGCGGTTCTGTGAGATGCTCCGCTGTGGCGATAATTTACAGTTATCCTCATGCAAGTTCCCACATGGTTTTTTCTTTCCTTTCAGGGGAATTATATCCGAACCTGAACTTTTTCCGGATTTGCTTAATTAAGTTCTAGTGTCAATGAAGAATTTATCTATGTTACCGTCTTTTCTGATTGTTAATTTAATATTATAAACAGTAAATTTAGTGTTTACTGCTTCAGTTTTTGTAATTGATATTTACTTTTGAGTTCTGCGACATAAAAATCCATTGGTGGTTGTTTAATGGTTAACTTTCGCAAATCTATGATTTCATTTTCCATTTTGATATTTTTGTGCGCGTCAAAGTTCGATTTCTTCATGTTTTGACGGATTAATTTCAGTACAGTATATTGTGTAAGTTGAGTTCTCATTTTCTTTTTTATGGGATCAATAGTCAAGTCAAAAATTAATTTGAACCACATATTCATAATTACAATCCACTTATTAACCACACATTTTGTGGTATCAAGTATTATTATCCTAAAAAGTTGCTAAAAAATTTACCAGACCACTCCATTATTATTTTCCTTTTGGGGAAAATAGATGGTTTCTCCTGGAGGAGGGAATGGTGAAGTGTTGGTGAAAGTGAATATGTGTGGAGAGATAAAAGGAGAGGTTTTGGAAAAGAGTTGGGAAGAGAAGGGGAAACAGTGTTTGACATTAGTACTCTTATTCATTTCATCGTTTGAGATGCCCACGACCATTTTTTTTTGTGATGGACATGGTTTAAAAAGGCGGTTGTGAGGAGCATGTAGTATACCTCGATACGGTATTTTTGAAACTAAAAATATGAGGCTCATGCCCCTAAATCTCAGGCGTGCGCCTCATTTAAAATTTGATGATTTTGTAGAAATTGAGTGTAACGAATAGGAAGATAATGGAGAAATTAGATATGATGATGATTCTATTAACGATGCTAGTAATAGTGATGATAGTGCAGACTATTATTATTATTTTTAGTTTAAGTTGCTTCTTTTTTTTCATTGCAAATGAAGTGATTTTTAACTTCTGTAATGCATTTTTTTTTTTGCTAAACTTCTTTTTTCTTTAGGTAGACTATATCTCTATATGTTAATGGCTATATATCATATTTACTATATGATCCAACTTTTATTTTTTTTTGTATTTTTATATTATTTTATAATTCTTTTATTTAGATTTTTTGTTTTTTGTGNTTGTATTATTTTATAATTCCTTTACTTATATTTTTTGTTTTTTGTGAGGCTTACGCCTCAATCCGCCTAGAGGATTACGCCTCGCCTCATAAAGAAAAATCGTCTCAGTACTTAGTTTCGCATTTTTAAACCTTGATAAGGGATAGATATAAATGAGAGCTTTGGTATATTTCTTGTGTACAAGGTATTCTCTTCTTTTTGCTAGTGATGAACTGTTTTTACTTATTTTTTAAAATTCATAATTGTCTTTTGGGTTCTATGTTTTTTTCTTGTTACATTACCTTGAGTACATCTTATTTCATATCTGAGTCAATTCCCTCCACTGACTGCAGTGTTACTATTAGGCAAATTTAATCATGTGTTAATATCATTCTCAAGCTTTTCGGTTAACTGCTTCAATGCTGGTTGATGTGATTCATGTGTCTATGGTGACTGTGTTACCATTGTGAGATTCTATGTTGTAAACTTGGGAACACTTTTTTGGCAGTACAACTAATCTAACCAGGTATTTGAGATATGTCCGAATAGAGAAAGTTCATATGCCAAGGTGGAAATTGACTCAATGTCCGTAAGCATAACAGAATATATTGTCAGATTGGGTGCTATCTAGAACCTCCATTATATGTTTTTGTATTCTCTCGTACTACTAGTAACAGTTGCAATGTAAAATTTTAGAACTAGGAGATGTTTTCATCAATGAGGTTCCCTTTCAATTAGATGGCTAAGGGAATAAGATAATGCAGGATGGGAACTACAGAAACTTACATATATTATATGCAAATATGTACAGTTCTATTATACAGGTTCTTGGAATCTTTGAGATCATGAACATATCAGGCACTTGACACTCGAACATTTATTTTGTAAAAGCACATTAACTATGTTAAATTTTTTTCCAAATTACATTAACAAGAGTGAATTTTCATTTTGAAAAGTTTCTATTACGTTAATCATTATTTACCATAATTAAGATTTACCATAATTAAGAGCTTTGATGAGTTTGTTGTTAAGAGCTTCTATGTCCTTTCCATGACTTCATAATTCATAAATGTTATATGGAGAGCGGTACAGTATTATTAACTATTGTGCATACATTGCATTAGGTATTTAATATTATCTCTGTGAACCTTTCAATTTTGAGACCAGTCATGGTTTGCTAGAGACATCTGTTAAGATGATATTTGAAAGAGGCAGTATTAAGTAGAATTGGAGCATAAACTGGCTGACATGTCTATTTTTTCTCTAAAAATTTGAAGGAGATAAAGTTATGTAAGTGGCTTCCATATGAAGTATTATATTTTTATAATATTTGGTAAAGATTTTATTTTGAAACAACCTAAAATAGAGATAAAGGCATTCATTTTGAAAAGGACTTCCTAATTATTAGATCGCCTAAGGTATTTTCTTGAGCAGAGTCTGGACATATTTCTTAAATTGATCTTGAGCACTGAGTGCTGAATGGCTCTTTGTTGGAGAAATTATTCAAAATGTGAGGTAGAACTAATGGGCCGGCTGACAGTGGAGAGAGTCAGTTTTTTGTGAAATCTGTTGTATTTCACTCATAAGAATGTAAGGATAACTTGAAGATCAATTTATGCCCTTGTTTAGGCTCCATTTTAATGAGGTTTTGAGAAAAACGTATTTTGGAACAGTAATTTTTTGGAGAATGTGTGGTTAAAAACTAGAAAATTTTTTGGGTTTACGTGTAGAATAATGCTCCTTGGACAAGCTCAACGACAGGGATGTGACAGGTTGGTGTGGCAGACAATAATTGGGGGTTTTTTTTTTTTTCAAATTATTCAATCATGTGTCGACACGTGTCCCCCATATTTTTTAACATGTCATTGAGCCTGTTTGTGTAGCATGCTTGTTACGTGTAATATTATTTTATTAAAGAATATGTGGTTGAAAATGATTTTTGAAAAAAATGTATTTTTGGATTAATGGGTGCCCAAACAAGGGCTATATAATACAATTTTTTTTTGCTACAATTACATTTTGATTACCTCCATATCATTTTCCTTGTCTTTTCTTTTTTATTTTAGACAATATTTTCTATATATTTCAGTTCCATCATTATTGACCAGTTCCATTTTAGGATAATCAAATGGCTGATGCAACTCAAGTAGAAGACAAATTGTTTGAAGAGATCTCAGAAAACACCCCTGAAAAGAAGCAAGAAACCCTTGAAGAGATGCTTTCTAGGCACAGGTACTGCATCTGTGTCTAATCTCTGTCACTTATTTCTAGTGTTAAATAATGTGTCTCAGTTTGAGGGTTGAAGTAATGTTTCTAAGACCGTTGCTTTAAGGAAGTTTGATTTGATCTGCGTTTGGGAAGATTTGGTAGCGATCTATCCTTGCGTGCTTGTTGCAAGTGGGGCAATAATCCAATTGCCGAAAGATGAAAAAGGGTATAAAATGCTAATATCTAAGACTGTTGGTGTGAAAAAAAGGGGGGCTGAACAATCAAGAATTACATTTACATTCTATTACATTCAAGTAATTCAATTTGTTTATATTCCCATGTCTATTTAATGAGTCGCAGGAAAGAGACAACGGATCTACAGAACAAGGAAATTGCAATGAAAAAGGCAGCAGCTAAAGGCAGCAAGGCTGAACAGAAAGCTAAGAAAAAACAAGTTGATGAAGAGATATCTAAGCTTTCAATGGATCTCAAAGAAAGACATGCAGAGGAACTGGCTTCTTTAGGCTATAGCACTAGTGCTGGGAATGGAACAGGAAATATGGACAATTTGGTTAAGGCCATTGCTGGGGTTTCAGTCACCAATCAAGCTGACCATTCAAAACCTAGCAAGGGTGTCAAGCGGCGTGAGAAAAGGTCTCAACAGGAAGCTGCAAGAGAACAAAGAATACAAGAAGAGCAGAGCAAGATCGTAAGTGACCGAATGATTGAAAGCGAGAAGTTAGAACAAAAGCTGGAACCTCTTGGATTGACCATTAATGAAATAAAGCCTGATGGGCACTGTCTCTACCGAGCTGTCGAGGATCAGTTGGCCCTCCACTCCGGAGGTTCTTCTCCTTATACTTACCAAGAACTTCGAGAAATGGTAGCTGCTTATATGCAGAAACATGCATCAGATTTTCTTCCATTTTTTCTCTCGGAAAATATAGCAGAGGGAGAATCTGAGGAATTTCTTGCAGAAAGGTTTGAGAATTACTGTAGAGATGTGGAGTCAACGGCAGCATGGGGAGGGCAACTAGAACTCGGTGCTCTAACCCATTGCCTGAAAAAACATATTACTGTATTTTCAGGATCTTTTCCTGATGTAGAGATGGGAAAGGAATACAAATCTGGTGGTGGGACTGGCTCATCTAGTTCAAGTATTATGCTATCGTATCATAGGCATGCTTTTGGGCTCGGAGAGCATTATAATTCAGTCGTCCCCAGTTGAGTCTAATACTTGTTTACTATTGAAAATAGCTCCAGAGTATCGTTATATTTTATGTTCATTTGATGCTCTCGGTACCGAGAACCAGTTTAAGCTTCAGTTGCTTTATCACATTATTAATGGTTTCGGACTCAGATTTTCTGGTAAGTCCATCTTTGTAAAAGTGAAACATCTCTCTTATTTCAGGTTTGTTTAAGTCGGCATTCTATCTTCATTTGTGAATTAACAGGCTTCTTGGAAACAGCTATGGTTCTTTTCTTGTTTTTAAACGAAAATTTTTGGTTTGTGACTGCTTACTACAGTGTCTTGAAATATCCGTCTGTATTGTGTTACTGACTTGATTCTTGAAGCTGGTTTGTCGAATAACTGAAATTACAGTAGATCGTCTTTAAGTACTCGTTCCTTGGTTCGTATGTGTTTGTCGTAATATTTTTGCAAGTGTAATGCATATGAATTTGGTGATTTATATTCTCAGTAATGCTCGATACCTTGCACAACACATACTAGTGGACGTGATCTTGAATCGTTGCATTTTCCTCCTAATGGACTTGACCTTGCAAAATTGTTACTGATTTTACATAGAGGGAATATGGTTTATAATTTATCAGTAGAGGGAGGATGGATTAAGTGAACACGACTCATTAGGTGCTTAGAGCTTGTTTTACATAGGGATTCATGTTCAATTTTAGTGTAAAAAATTAGAAGAGGGACGGATGAATGAATAGCAATACCGTGCATGGTAGTTGTCAATGATCTAATGGCTTTGAAATTCGGAACAACAAAAAAAGATTCACGTAATTAATTTTAAATTTATAATTCACGATCCCTTTATCGAAGCAAAGTCGCCATGAACAAATTGTAATTGTATCCAAACTACGAGGAGCGATTGAGATGTAGAAATATACAATCGAACAGCTGCTTCAGTAGGCACTTATTGAAATTAAATATCGATCACAGAGCAAGTGAAAATTAAGCCAGTTATACATGAAATAATTTTCACTCACTCAGTCGTGAAGATGATCATTAATTTTCAAGAACATCATCAGCAGCATCTGCAGGTGGGTTCTCTTGGAGGAAGTAGTCGTGGCGGAGTTTTCGAGCAATTTGATAAAGACCTGTACACGCCATGGTGAAGTTAACACCCAAAAGGTTCAAGTTTCTGGGAGTGATGACAGTGCAATAGCGCGACCAAATGAATCCAGAGACTGCAAAAACCATTTGCTGGGGGTACGAAAGTGTTTCGGGTGGCTTTGAGAAGTCAGAAATATTGGCTATGCTTAGTCCCCATTTGAAGGTTGGTGCCCAAAAATGAATGGTTTTTGGACCTGCTGGATGGTTCCACAGAGCCTTCAACTTGGAATTCGCCATCGTCGACCTCTCTCTCTTTGGATAAATTTTACAGATATGAATTGAAAGTAGTTGTTAATTATTTACCTTTTTTGTTTTATTTTATTGTGAAGTTAGTCAAACTTGCAGAACTGGTTAACTATGATTGGTATAAATAATTGAAAGGGTGGGGTCATCACATCAATTAATTGTTACGACTATGAAGTTATAGATACAAATGCACGCAAGTCAAGGTTGCAACTTGCAACAGTTCAGATATTTATAATAGAGAATAATCTTATCGAGCATTATCGCTGCTACAATATCAATTTACGTGATATTATGCGATATGTATAATTAATGGTAAAATTATGTGAACACATATAATTAGTCGTCTCATTCAGTGCCATTTGATATTTCCTAGGCTAATATTATAATAACAGTGCTGCTAAATAACATTAATCGCATATTATATTTGGAGAATAAGTGACTTTCTTACAAGTTTTTGAATTCAACAAATTTCGTAAATAAAAAGAGTAATGTTATTCATCTGAGTGATAATGATTATGGGTATGTAATAATGGAGTCCCCATCGTATTGTTTAATGAAGTTGAAATGCATTTTTATTTAGGATAATTCTATTGGTACATTATGCCATTCATAATGGATGACATAATATACAAGTAGAATTATTCTATTGGAGGGTGTGCCGGTGAGCCAACACACCCTCCAATAATGTACTGTCACTTGTACATTATGTCATCCATTATGAATACCATAATGTACAAGTAGCACAACCCATTTATTTCCCGGCACACCCTCCAATAATGTACTGCCACTTGTACATTATGTCATCCATTATGGATACCATAATGTACAAGTAGCACAACCCATTTATCTATTGAACAATATGACAATAACTTCATCATCATCACTCCTGATGAATAGCATTATTCGGACCAAAATGCACACAATTATGAGTTTGACAGCTTGTAAGCCAATTAAGTTTGGATATTCGAGCAAAGTTTGTCATCTTCTAGAAATTTTAGGTCAATTTTGAACGTTGAACGAACTCTCTATAGTATTTGAAGATATTTGAACTAGAGGACAATGGACTCATTTAAGGGGAGAAGAAAAAAAAGGGAATTTGGTTTTCCTCTCAAAAGAAAGCCAACTTAAACATTGAACCTCGTTCTCAAAAAAGGAAAACATTGAATGTGGTTCAAGTAGCAATGTGAGCTAAGTTAGTATATGAATTTATTTTGGCAAAAGTAGGAATCGTCACCTACTTTTCTAAACATGAATATCCACAAAATAATTTCAAGATTCATCAATTAATACTGAAGATAAAACCCACTTATCCATTATATGAAATAAGTCAATATGACTCGAGCCAACTCTATCCGCTTTAAAAAGAAGATACTTCAATTTTTTCAAAGTATCCTAACCAATTTTACGAAAGGTATATTTATATTCATACCACATATTTTGTTAAATATATCATATTTTAGTTGTAATGAAGGTGTATAACTTTCACTCATTTTGACACTTGTGCACATAATTTTACATCGCATTCTTATGTTTAACATTCAATTTAACACATTATTTCTAATGGCAATTTTTGTCCAAATATTATGTTGTCGTCAGGAAAATATAATCAAACTTTTATATTTATTGTTTATCGCACTTATTCAAAAATTCGAAGGACAAACAAGATTTTTAGTTGCTCTCTAGCAATTTTTTTGCCATTATTTGGGATAAGATGTGCTAATTTAAAGAGATTATTTACAGAGGTTGAAGATAAAATAGGCAAAACATAAGTTAAAAGACACAAGTGCAAATTAAAATATTGTGGTAGCACCCTACGATCTGCCTTATAATTAGGCTATTATTTTATTCGAAGGAAAGAGTACACGATTGCAAGCTTCAGTTCATTGTTAACTAGAGAAAACTGAAATAACATTACAGTTGAATTTGACAAGAGCATCCAACCAGAGTAACATTTATAAATTGCATTTACAGCAAAGCATTACACACAATGAAGGAGTCAAATGTGTTAATGCGTTACAAATGCCATGTTTCTCAAGTGAGTAACATTAATCACAGCACTGCACCTTGCAAATTTCGTAGGAACCAAAAATGAATCATGTCTCTACTTATTTCGTCAAGAACTTTTCAATTTGTTCAAGCACCTGTCAAAGAGTATAATCAAGTCAGCAGCATACTGAAATGAACTCTAAAAGAGAACAAAAAGTTGGAGAAGACTAAGAGAGACGAGAGGGAGAGGGAGATAGAGACCTCGATTGCAATTATAGTTGGTGTGAGATTGCATACATCTTTATCTCTCAGTTTGTTTGCAATATCTGCATAAAGAAGACATATCCTTCAGTGATGTCACAAAGACGAACGCTGAAGCACAACTGAGGATGAAAAGAAGAGTCCAGATTAAGATCACAAAAGTTGAAGGCTTACTTTCTAGGGAAACTCTGGCATTTGCGTTGGCGTATGCTTCACCCCGCTCTTTGAAAAGTGTAGTTAACCGCTTCTTGGTCTACACGAATCTCAGGTCAGGTAAGAAAAGAAAGTGGGAGTCAAGTTTACAATGAACAAGCAATAAAAATTTCATCTTTTTACTTGATGTTTGGAGCACATAAACTTGTATACTTCCCGACGATGTCCAGTGATATTGATAAGGGAGACAACCTACCTTAAGATAAGGATCTCCAGCTTCGTGATGCAAAAGGGGCCGAGAATCAGTCCCTACAGCTGTAATTCTTCGTGCTAAAGCTTCCAAAGGTACATCTAGCCAAACACTCATACCCTTTTGCATGTATCTCCTGAAAAGGAAGAAATGGTGACCAGTTAGACAACTTTGAAGTAGAACTGTAGAAGGAGAATGAATCCGACTGTAAGAACACAATATCATCCAATATATTTACCAATTGATGGGCCGAACAACTGCACCCCCACCCGTGGATATAACCATTCGGTGCATCATAGACAGATTCCGTAATACCTCAGTCTAAAGGGAAAAGTAGAAAACCTTAATTTCAGAAAAGATAAGAGAGAGAGAGAGAGCCAAATTTTGCATTCACTAATAATTAGAGGCACTAAATTGCAAGACGTTTCTGAAGCACAATTGAATACGAGAAGCTATAAATTCCTGGAAAGTACTTTCCATTCCACTAACTTTTCCTTTGTTGGCTTATCTAGTCAAGTTGACCTCTTTCAGAGAAAAATCAACATTAATAAGCTTAATGCTGGAAATGACAATTAAAAATTATTGAAGTACACAGAACTGCTAATGCAAGAAAGGTTTGAAATCTTCTAAACAAAGTAAATAATAATAAAATATTATATGAAATACCATTCTGAAGAAATTTCAGTGTCTAAATACAGTCAAAATATTATTAATCAAATAATGAAATTGGGTGGGTTGTGAATCTGCAAGGAATAGAAAACTGAATTTCATACAGAGCGCCTAACTTATGAACAAGGAACAAATTGCAAGCACATATTCACAAAATTTTAGTCAGTTTAAAAAATTATCCTCAAACACTTGCCGAAAAGTAATATGTATGAACTATCAACAGCAAAAGTACAAGATCAATTATGCAAACAGCTCTTTTTGAAAATAATGCTTGAGGTTAGGTCTAGGCCCAAAACGTCCACTTGTGTAACCTCACTTGGTGACAACCCAATTAAGTTAGGAACTTTAACACAGGTCAATAAAATTAACAACTACATGCATCATTTATGAGGAAGCCTATCACACATTTGCACTTATAGGGTAGAGAATAAGGCATTTTTCGATTTTGATTGAGGAAACAGAAGAGTAATACCATGGTTGAGTTTTTTTTACCATAAGTAGAGGAAGCGTTCGGAAACATTTTGGGAAAGCTATAAGAACTTCGTAAAATTTAGAGACAAGTCAACTGTTGGTCTTTAATAAAACTAACAAATTTCATCCATATTTACGACCATCTAGTTAGATAAGTTAAGAAGTATTATCAGAAATTTTGAAATTTCAAAATTGCCCTTGTATTCCTTTTCTTTCTTTGTATGGAAATGTGTCTCAACTTTGAAGCATGAGAAACATGAATAGCTTTTATTCACTTCAAAAAGTATAGAAAAAAGTGCAAGGAAGAAAAAGAAATGTTTCGGTTAAGGATTAGTATTGGAAACACAGAAAGATTTTTATTTTCTATTTTAATACCATCCTCACTATCAATGGCAGCATAAGACACCAAAAATATTCAGAAGATAAGATTGCCAAGTGTTCAAAAGCATAAAAATGGTACATGGTTGAAGTGAAAGAATGAAGAACTTTGATCTTTTTAAACGGTGCCACTATCAGCATTCAAACTGTAATAACCAGCAGAGAAAAATAATGACGACATGAACTTTGGGGAATGAGAAGTGAAAGGAATAATGTATATATGAGAAAAGATAAATGAGACCAGCCGTTGGCACCACTGATGCAGATAAAGCACAAGACTGCATTGAACGCAAAATTAGGTTTTATTTCTCAGCAACTAACCTCATTGTCTCTGAAGAAGCTCTCTCCATGTAACTTGAAGATTTCAGCCACAGTAGTTCCACCGACAGTTTGCTCAATTAGTGTGTCACTGAAGCATCCAAAAAGTAATGTGATCTAACAATATCAGAAGGATCAACTTATATACCATCCTAATACAAAACCAGGGGTTGCTAATTACTGAAACAGAAGAGACGAACTTGGAACTTACCAGTCATAAAAAGAATACCCAAGAGCTTCTGATAAAACCTTGCCCACTGTTGTTTTTCCAGATCCCATCATTCCTGCATTTTGTTAAACATCGTTAAAATGCAAATGACCATCAACAATGTAACTAATTTAAGAAAATAGAGATGAGACTTACCGACAAGATATATACAACGTCCATTTAGATGTTGTTCGATCTCTTCTGCTTTGTTCTGCAAAAGGAATCCACATTGTGTCAAAAAGTTGAATCCAACTTCTAGAATACTTGTGAATATGCCAGTGCCATATCAGCTAATTA